CCGGACAGTTTCTGGAAAAGTCAAACCGTACTTTAAAAAAAAAGCTATTACAACTTAAATTTTTTAAATAAATCAATATCTATACAAACAACACTATATTCAACCCATTCTGTTCCATCACTAATATAACTATTTAAATATATCATATATTTGATTATATATACTTAATAAGCACACCAGGGAACATAATAAAACAATGCAAATTACCTGTTTCATTGAGCTTCATCAAAAGTTGTTCTCTCGTTGGAAGTGTATACATCCCAGCGTACACAGCTGTTCGTACCGCCCATGTGTGGTATGGTGCACATACCTGCCCATAAGCTGTTGAAGCCACGTCTTTTAGAGAAGAATCTCTGAAAATACCAAACTACAAATCAGATGCCACAACTACCCACAAGGCACTAACATTAAGAAAACAAAATGATAGAATTTATGAAGCTGTGATTCAACGCAGGTGAAACTAAACAGACAGGAAAACGGTAATCTTTTCTTTTCGGAAAAAGGTTCTTTTCATTTGACAGTCTTTATAGGTGAAAAATGATTTTAACAAAAAGCTAACTTTTGTATTTAAAAAATAATAATAAAAGCTGGTGAGAGATGGTGCCCAATGATTGTATAAAGAATTATAGTGTAAAAGTACTATTATAATTTCTTTTCCAATATTTCATACGGAAAATTCAGCATTGTATTTATGTTTTTGTACACAAAAAGGGTTTCTTACTCAGTAGACAAAAGTTGTTCGAATATAGCTCTGACGAGATCAAGACCCTGTCGAACTCTACGCAGATTACGGGAATAGCTTCCAGAGGTTTTCACTGTATCATTGCCAACATCAACTTCAAGAATATCTTGTAGAGTGGGACATGTCTTTGATGCTTCCAATAGTCCTTCTAGCTGATCATATCAACATCGTAATTCATAACTTTAGGACCATGTCAGAAATTCAAATTGAGAAAGAAAACCCGATGAAATGAAAATTTTGGGAGGTAAAGCAGAGATGATGCACTGAATATAGAGAGAAATTAGTTGGATGAAAATTAACTCTGAAGAAACCAAATGTTTTACACAACCAGCATGGATCAAGTGTCATAAAACAGTGAACAGAAAAGCTTTTGGAGTAATATATTTAAAACCTTGAATGTGTATCAAAGAAATCACCAAACATGAACCTGAAGTAAAATGTAGGAGCTACCACCAATGTTATATGTTAATTGCAATAACACCACTCGGACTTTCTGAGTGCATCTCCATTAAGAACGATGGGGAGGAGGATATCAAAGAATCCCAATTCAATATGATATAAAAAAATTAAAGGAAAAAGCAAAGATAACATGATTTTGACCACAAGGAGTAACTCAAGGAAAAGGGAGATAGAAAAAAAAAACTAAATTCTGCAATCATGACTTTCAGTTTTATCATTTTTCACATGCACCATTTATCCCGTGTTCATTCGTCCAAATCTGGAATTCAATTATTAAAAAAACATTTTAAACAAAATAAAACTACAAGATTTCTTTTTGTTTATTTTCCTAAATATCCACCTTCCAAATAAATTTTGTTAGAGACACAATTCGACACTATACATATTCTCCAGAAAAAAAAAAACCCCGTAACCTGATTGATCCCGTCATGAAAACCCAACTCTCCTCCTTAAATCAAAAACCACCAGTTATTAATTAGAAAAAAACAAATCACACTGATATTCCACGAGATTATCTTCAAAATTATAAATTATACAATTCTGTATGAAATTCATACAGAGAGTCCGTTAGAGTAATTTGTTAAAGAAAAGAGTTAAATGGAAATAACTACATATGACTTTATCGAATGAGGACCACAACGGTCAATTTGATGTGGCAGTTTTGAAGTTTGAAGAGAAGAAAGTACGATTTATGATGAAAGAAAGAAAGGAAAAGAAACCTTGGCGACGTATTCCAATTCAGCGAATTTGAAAGCGAGGCCGAGACAACGGAAGAGAACGGAGACGAGAGAGGCGACCTCGCAGAAATTGTCGAGGCGAATGTGGCGGCCGTCGCTATTCTCCTTCATCCACTTCGACAGCTCCTCAAACGCCTCTGCTATGGCCGTCAGAGGTTGTTCTATAACCTCGCCCTCGTCCATCTCGGGCATCCTATTCTTCCTTCGATCGCTGGATCGCTGGATCGCTTATCGATTCCTTTAATCTCAATGTGTTTGCGAACGTCTCAAATGTCAAAAAGGAATTGGAAGTCGAATTTGCAATGGTAAAAAGGAAAGCGCGTGTTTAGACGCTGAGGGAACATTCGCTACAAATGCGCTCTACCAGAAGATTCCTTTCAATTCATTTCCCTCAAACTCGTGAAAGACAACCGTCCACCGCTGCTAACTTCCTGCTCCCTTCGTATTCAACATTCGCGCGCCATCGCCTTCTTTTCATGCCTCTTTCTATTGGGCCCCGGCCCAGCCCATTCCCTTTTTATTGTAGTTTTGTAACACTTGTAAAAGTAGAGTGTTTCACTTTTAACATTCTCAAGTCTCATTATTATTCTACACTTTTAATTTTATAGAAAATTTTATTTTTAATTTTAATAAATATATTCTTATTTTTCTCTTTTTCTTGTTAAAAGAATTCTATATCACCTTAATAATAACTAAATTTAAAATTCAAATATTATTTAATATAATTTTATATTTTAATAATTATTAAAATATGATTTATGTTATAATAATAATTATATTAAAAATATAAAAATAAAATAATTAAAAATAAAAATAATAACAAAAAAGTAAATTATATTAAATAAAATATTTAATATATTCAAATATATTAAATTATATTAAAATATTAAATTAAATTAAATAATTATGAAAATTTAAATAATAAACAAAATTTTAAAACCGTTATTTATCAAATATGACAAATAAAATTATATTAAATAAAATATTTAAATATACTAAATTATATTAAAATATTAAATTAAATTAAATAATTATTAAAATTTATATAAAATAAAATTTTAAAAACCATTCTTTTTCGAATATGAATATCATATTTATAACTTATCGGATATCTATATCCGATTAACAAATTTTTTAAATTTTTTTTTTAAAATTTTAATAATTATTAAATTTAATTTAATATTTTAATATAATTTAATATATTTAAATATATTAAATATGATTTTAATATGATTTTTATTTTTATTTTTATTCTTATTTTAGTTATTATTTTTCAATTTTCTTAATAAAACTATTTTAAAAATATAAATTATTAAAATATAAAAATATAATAAGTAATATTATAATTTTTATTTAAGTTTAATATTTATTAAATTTTAAATGAAAAAGCAAAGTATTAACATATTTTATAGATTTTAATATATAAATAAGTTTTTCAAAATTTTCATTTTTATTTAAAATTTAATAATTATTTAATTTATTTTAATATTTTATTATAATTTAATATATTTGAATATATTAAATCAAATTTATTTTTATTATTTATTATTATTATTATTTATATTATTTTATTTTTATGTTTTTAACATAACTATTATTATAATATAAATTATATTGTAATAATTATTAAAATACAAAATTATTTTAAATAATATTTAAATTTTAAAATAAATTAAATTAAATTATTATTAAGGTAGTGAAGATTGTTTTTAATAAAAAAGAAAAGAAAATGAAAAAATATTTATTAAAGTTAAAAATAAAGTTTTGAAAAAGTTGGAGGTGCAGGATGAGATGTCAGAAGGTTAAAAGTGAAATTTTTAGAGTGCAGGATGAGATCTTGGAAGTGTAGGATGAAACACACGTAAAAGTATGGTTCGAAAGTTTTTTAAAACAGATTTAAATTTACGAAATATGATAATATACGAAAGATATTTTTTTTTCAAAATAAAACATGATCCAAATCATTTATGCAGTTACTAAATTATTTCATGAACATGCAATTTTATCTGTGCTCTTATATTAAATAGATTCATAACAATTATCATATGAGAAAATAACATATAATAGTTAGCTAATGTAAAATAATTTATGGTGTACATATTCAGTTATATTTTAGATTCCTATCATATATGTAAGCAACAATTCTTATCTCAAAATAAAGCTTCCAACTTTCATAATTACGGAGGTCTAACAAAAATAATATGCATCCCACATCATAGAAAAGGTCTAAGGAATAACTATGCATTCAGGAAGATAAAAGTCAATTGAAAACATCACTAATACTTAACATTGGGTTTATTTATTTATTTATTTATTCTTGGTAATTTGTAAGGTGGATAAGAATGAGTAACATATAATGAGGGAGATGGATTGATCAGAATACTAATTATTTGTCAGGCATAGGTGGACTAAAAAAAAGTACTACCGATTTTTGGTCAGGCAGGGAAAGTTGATGACGTGTCGGAGTCTTTAGGAGCGGTGGTGATTCAACGGGTAACAATCACTAGTTCCAACAACACGGGTCAACACTACTTAAAACCGCGTGTCAGATCAAAATCTATTTTGACTATTTTTGCAAATCAAATTATTTTGTAGACCAAACAACAATAGCCACTATACTTCCAGAAACCAAAAACTCAAATTAATTATTGCAACCAGTGGCTTTGTATTGAAGTCTACATGGCAGTAAGTACACTGAACGAGGCACATATTTGATTTACAAGTTAAATCATGTTTACATTAATTATACACAGTTATCCCAGTTCATTTCTTCGTCACCTCGTACAAAGTTACAAAAGTTTTATAACTGTTAACGGAAAAAAAGTGTATGATAAGAAACTTTCAGAATATAGTTTATTTGATTTTTTATAAATTCATAACATTTTAACTAATTCCGAACCTATACGTATTAATTTTTACAATACTCAACATGACAACTACTTTAAAATTATTTGCACGTACTCCATAGAGGATTAATTTGCCATCTATGATGAACTAGGGACTTAAAAAGCATGCAGAATGAGAAACGTTAGAAGTAGATGGGATGCACAAAGGCCCAAATATAAGATGGGGGCAAACAACTATGTATATGAATACTAAAAATCTCGAGGGACAGGGAGGAAATGATAAATACAAGGGCAATAATAAAGGAGAGGCTAAAACTTATCCACTTGAGATTGTCATTATCAAACATGAACTCATTAAACATGGAGTGTAACAAAGACCCATTGAGAGAAAAAGTTGAAAAGAAATAATTTGGCAAATTGGAAACGAGATCTATTGTTCATCGAACTCGTGCATGTGATCTAAAAGGTAGTTGGCAGCCAATTCCTCATTTTTGTTACAAGCGAAGTACACCTCCAATACGATCGCACGATCAAAACCCATTGCTTCAAGCTGAAAACAAAAACCACAACTCATTATTATAAATTTTAGACGACACAAGAGCTAATCAACATGTTAGCCGCTCCTGCTCCCCAGAAACAGTTGGCGTCTGTTAAAAGGTACTCACTGATAATGTCATTTAAACAAACTATAACTATCAGCATATACATCACATCCTAACAAAAAGTCAAACTTACACGTTCAATAGCTTGGCGCTCCTCAGGAGTGACAGTCACTGCTTGAGGCATGCCACCAGCCAGCTGCCCCAATATATTCCTGAAGCACATTAAATGCAAAACATAATTCAGTGAACATGCAAAAAGATAGTCAGAAAAGATAACAACACCTTCCCCTCCTATCCACACACAAACGCAAAATTACAAAAAAACATCAGATGATGATCCCTTACCCTTCGCCACCTTCCACAGGTTCATTTATCAGGCGAAGGAAATCAGCTTGATGATCTCGAATCAACCTCATAAGATGAGGATTTTGTTTGCCGAGTTCCTGTAGCATAGGCTGCAGCAAGAACAAGAATCAGGGAACTACGAAGACAGCATATGAAACAGTGATACACTACTGAGCAAAGAAGAAAACCTGTAATATTTGTGGATTAGCCTGCACCATAGCCCGCAAGGCTTGGAACTGAAATGCAAATGAACATAATTGAAATATCTATTTAAAACATATCTATGAAGCAAAGAAATTCAGAGGTAAATGAAGAGAAAGATAATAGATACTTGTTGACTGTTGCGTAGAAAATCCAATGAGCCAGCACCAGCAGCACCAGAACCCACATTGGGAAGTCCCTGTTACACAAAGTTCAATATACAACAACCCAAAGCTTTCATTCTCTTCAATAATAAAAAAATGTAATAGCTACCTGCGGAAAAAGGTCTAAAGGATTAGCATTAGGCCCAGTTGAGGTAACCGGAGCAGGTTGTGCTGTTTGTGGAGCAGCAGCGGCAGGAGGATTTGCGGGTTGAGCACCTGCAGGCGCTCTGGCTACAAGTGGAGCTTCAGCTTGTTCAGGGATACCCTAACGTTGATGAATGATATTTGGATTAAAAAAGGAAAGATGGCAAGAAAATATCCCAAAAGAAAAGAGTCCACCTTCCACCCAAATAACTACTATACTAAACTAAGCTAAATAAATGACCGAGAAACTTGGAGGACAAAATCATCAAGCACAGTATTTAAAGTCTAAAATTCACATACTGAATACAAATATTCAACAGCTCTCTCAGGGTTGTTATAGGCAGCTCGAAGAGCACGGACAACAGTATCCCTGTCCCAGCTCCCTCCACCCATGTCAATAATTTGCTGAATAGTTCCCTCCAAATTGCTTCCAGCAACGAGATTGGATGCCGCCTGCCCATAGATATCAGACCCCTCCCTGCTTCAAAAAGACATTCTTTTAGCAACAAAATCGAAGAGAAGAATCAAGCAAGTTGAAGAGTTCTGTCTTTCAGGATACAAAAATAACAGCAACTTTAAACTCTACACTCCACACATGGCAGGAAGCAAAACACATACACAGGAGTTCCTGAAGAAATAGAAACAGGAGGTGGAACTGAAGGTGTAGATACAGGTGCAGAAACAGTTGCCGGCCTGTCAAATTGAAATGAAGCCTTTACATAGCACATAATACACATTAAAATAGTTCAAATTGACATTTATCTAAACAAATAAAAAAATATCCTAGAAAGATTAGCCACTCACGGTGCCTCAGTTGCAGCTGGAGCTTGAGGCGCTGTTGACACTGGCGCTGTTGAAGTAGGAGGTGCACTGGTCTGTGGTGTCTGCAATGAATACATAACTTTTAGAGAATGTTTAGATGATGCATAAGAGACATTATGCTTGTCTAACCATGTCCCATGAGAGGGTAAAGCCTAAATGATAGAAATATTGCAAAAACTTATTACATTGAAAAAATGTTCTCACCTTGGTCGATGGTGCAGCTGAAGTAGTAGATCCTTCACCAGAAGTGCTCTTACTCTAGCATGTTTTAAACATAATTCTAATTTAGGGCAACATAAACTAATAAAATGGTGAAACAGAATATGCAACATAATATCATTTAAAAAAAAGATAAAATAAAATAAATGAACCAAAGAAAACTACCTTTGATAGCATAATTACAATGAAACTATTTTCAGCTACGTTATTCTCCTCCAAGGTAGTAGCATCCTTCAGAACTTTCCCTTGGTGAATTAGCATTTGCTGGGCAGCAGGATAGACATCTGCACCCTGAATAGTTTCAATACTTTTCTTCACTTCAGAAACCTGAAAAGAATATCCACAATTAAAAATAATGTGACAAATCAGTTATTGATGTTAAGAAAAACCAGAAGAAAGTAGAAGTGAATCACAAAGCCCATAAAATTAAAAGATGAAGCGTTGACATATTTGATGATATAGAACTCCACATTTAGGTCATATCAAGCATTTTGAAAAATTCCATTGTTAGAAGCGTGCAACACCGAAAAAGACTAAAAAACGCTCATTATTCACACATATCTATTCACATATCAATTGCAGTCCTAGTTACCAAGACAACACCCATTCTGACAATAAGGTAATAAGTCAGTTTTGGAGCAAGTGTTAGCGGTGGCAGTAAGATAAGTCGGGTATTTAAATCTCCATAAATATGAGCATCAATTAGAAATTAAAATGTGTACTTATCAAGATTTCTTCTTATAGTACAAACTGGTTTGATATTCCTAAGAAGTAATACTCCAGATATTGTCAATGCAGAACTTATTCACTATCACATGCCAAGAATCCCAAACTTATTAGAAAGATCTCCCACTAATAATAGAATCCAGAGGAGCATCGATAAAAAAGTTTGCCACTAATTCACAGGAGCAATGAACCGGAAGACAAAAGTTATTAAAAATAAGGTTATCTAGTTAGAGAATGTTATGACGAGAATAACACACTACATTCGTTTCCAGCATATTCCAAATACCAAATCAATCGTCACTCCGAAAAAGCAGGAATTAACTTTCAAGTAATAAATTAAATCCAAATTGGCATCAAAATTAAATTATAATTCAAATAAGCGAAACCCTAATTAACACTCAATTTCAGGGCTCTAAAAGGAGAGGAAACTTTTGGGACAATTCAAGAACGGGACGCAATTACCGACCTAAATAGAAAAACCAAATTCATAAGAAATCCAAATCGACAAAGTCTGGAGTAACAAACCGTGTTCTGAGGCTGCACTTCGATTTCGAAGTGAGTGCCTTTGAGAGTCTTCACGAAAACCTTCATCTTCGTCACCGCTATCGTAATAAGGCGCCACGAACAGCGTCAAGTCACGCCGGCACGGTAAAGTTCCGCCGATCCGAAGACACCAATGACAACTTTGTAAAGAAGAAAGGAACAAGAGAGAGTGAGCAAAGCGTAACAATGTGATGAAAAAACCTCCTTTTACTGAAATAAATAAATAAATACTGAAATAAATAAATAAATAATTGGAGATATGATATGATATACCGAAAATATGCTAGTTTATGTTAGTGGTTGAAAGAGGACTATCACGCGCTTTTTGGAGCGTGATTAGACGCGGATCTTCAATTGCTAGATTGGTGACGTGGACTATGCAGAAGAATTGGGTTAACGTGGAAGAAAGATGGATGGGAGTTGAGATGAAGAGAATTAGCTAGATTTTTGTGTGTTGTATTGTGTCTTACTATAAACCTTTTATAAATCTTTAGATGATGTGTTTGTTTTTAAGATAAATATTATTATTATTTTTTAAGATTAATATCATAGATTTTGTTATGGATCACTGTATAATAATAGTTTTTATATTATTTAAGATAAAGATTAATACTATTATTGTTTTTGTTTTTTTCAACATTAAATATGTTTAATGAGTTATTATTGCTACAATCAATTATCTATTCTCTTCTATATTTTGTTTATATATTATTTAAGATAAAGATTAATATTATTACTTCTTTTTTTCAACCTTAAATATATTTAATCTGTTATTATTATTATAGTCCATTATCTATTCTCTCCTACATATAATAAATCCCTGTTTATTTATTATTCTTATATCACTTATATTACATGGCTAAGTAAATAAAAATATATATAATAGGATTTATATTATCTAAAAAATGCTAATAGGCAGTATTTGAGTGAGACTATCGACACTTTGGGATGATTTCACGCGCTTGGGCTTTTAGGTTAAATAATCCGTCAATATATTTGGATGTGCATTCTCAAAAAAATACAAAATATGATGCCAAAGATATTTTTAAGGGATTTTGTCACTTATAAATTTTAAATAAAAATAAAAATGTACTTTTAGGACATTTTGTATGTATAAAATATTACAATAAATTTATATTTCTAAAACATAAATTTAAATATTATTTTTTAATAAATAATCTTATTAACAAATTCTCATTAAATTTGTTATATACCACTAATAATGGTAAAATGTTTTTCAAAAATATATTATGTAAGAAACCTTTCTTCTTTTGTTTTAAAAATATATATAATGTGATCCCATTTTAACATTTTTTTAATATGTCAATTATGAAAAATATTGTTCATGGTTTCTTAACAAATAATTATAATAGTAGCTCTATGTTAAATAAAAATATGTATGTGTTGAATTTGTGGAATAATTTATAGGGTCTTCGTGAAAAAATATTGTATTGATTTATAAAAGTACACCGTATAAAGAGACAAACCAGTTTAGCTAACCAAAATAAAAAGTTTCCATATAAGGAAATTAAGTTAATAATACATGGTTTCAAATATTGTTCGACAATACCTAACTAATAATTTAATTCTTTAATTTCCTTTGTTTTCAAATTATCTAGGAAATACTTTAATTTTAAAGCTGTTGTAGTGATTTTTCAAATTAGTATAATGTTGTTAATGGTTAATCTCATCGTAATTGGTATTTGGGAACTTTATTTTAATTGACAGGGTTCTGGTTTTCAATTTTGTTTATATATTATAAGAATAAATATAAAAATATTAATGATAGTATATTTAACCTATTAAAAACTATATATATAACCCATTTAAGCATAGTTTTATTTTCTAACTTGTGACACACAATTATTAAACTAAAATTAAAGTGGAAAAAAAATATAACCCATTAAACGCAATTTGAATTCGTTTAAGTGAATCATGATTCATTGACCTATATCTAAAAAAATTATATTTTTTTCAATCCAACCTTAAACTCATTTGTGAGTTATTCAATTTGAGGGTTTGAATTCATTTCGTGAACTATGATAAACAAAGTGTTTCTTATTAAATTAGTATTTGTTTTTAAACAGAAGAATAGTCACAGATATTTTTTCTAGCATTTGTATTATTCAAATAATAATAGTTACTTTGTGGATATTTACCAAAGTCTACGTGTATAAAGAATGAGCAAAAGAACATTATTGTCAAAATAAATGGTTGATATGAGATCAGTTAACCAATTTAACCGATCTCTTGGGTGTACATGGTACTTGGGTATTTGTGTATAATAAAGGGGTTTGTAGTTTTGTCACAACAAAATTGTACAAGAATTATTTGCAATTTTGTCTAAAAAAAATTAGAAAAAAGGTTTGCAATTTTGTCAAGAAAAAATTGAATGAAAATATTTGGAATTCTATAAAAAAAAAAATTGTTGTATAAGATTTATAGTTTTATCCACACGTTGTAAAAAATATATATATACGAAAGTTTACATTTTTTTCCAAAAAAATTATTATATATTGAAAAATAATATTTTTGTCTGAGTATTCGTAAATATACGTCTTGAGCGTCGAATTACGTTAAATTTTTTCTTGTGTAATTTTATTTGATTTTTTCTCTTATGTGTGTGTTTCCGTCTGAAGATATCTTTTTCTTATTTCATGGTTTCCAAATTTTTTTATTCAAACTTCTAAGAACTCATTCTAAAAATGTATATGAACTATATTTATAGAAAAATGTTGCTCTAATTTTTTTTAAATGATTTGGTAATAAGATATGATTTTGTTTAACTAAAGTTTGTTTTAACCCACATAAATTACTATGAAGTTTATGGACCTTATGCTTACATCCTTTTGCACATGACCTAGTTAGTAGTTTTTGTATATGCACATCATTGGCACGAAAAAATCAATTAAAATCCAAGTTGATGCATTTGTCATCCTTTATTTGTTTGTAATAGTTATTACCATTTTCGCAATATTTGTTTTGCTGAGAGATTAAACACCTATACATAACTCACTTCATACTAATGTGAATAAACTTTTGTCATTAACCAATATAATTCAACTTGTATTTCCATTTAACTTAACAATAAATTAGCTTGGATGTTCCATTCTTTATAATGGATTTAATTTTAGTTTCCATTTTGAGTTTTTCACCACAATTTCAAAACTTATTTATGTTGCGCAATCAATTAGCATTCTTTTAATTAGATGGTGTTCTTCGTTAGTGATTACTTTAATATCATTGAGCTGTCATTAGTTCATTTCTTCTTCTTTATACTTATTATCTATTACATAAATTTTTCTTATAGTATAATTACAAACTTGTAGATTTTAAAACTTAACTCAATCTTACAAAACTGACTTATAATGTGAAGTTTATATATACTTATATAATGTAAACTTACCTAACTCTAATCAATATGAGATCTTCAACACCTCCTTCATGTCGATCTATATACATCTTGAGCGTTAAATTAGATATCAATGAATAATCTGATGGCACAATAAAGTTAAAGGAAGGGTTAATATGGTCATTAAGGGAAGGGTTTTGATAGGTGAAAACTCTCTTTCTAACCTAAAAACTACCTATTTCTTATGCTGAAATGTAAACAAAGCTTTACACAAGTTGACAGCTCCTACTTTACCCAGTTTAACGTCTTTAAATTCATCACGCACAAGCTTTACATCAAAATCACATTGCACCTCACAGTTAAATTAGTTTTCACATCAACACATATTATATACAATCAACTCAACGTATTAAATTTCTCAATCCAATACAATTTCACAATTCGATCAATAATTTATCATACGAACATTAATTAGAACTCGTCTATCAAACAAATAAAGTAAAACTAGTTTCCATTACCTTACACCGACGACACACAGCTTTAAGAACACTCTAATTACTTCTCAGACAAGGAATTTCTAGAAATACCTATAAATCACCAAATTGAAAAAAGAAAAGAGTTCTTAGGACCTTAGATTTACCAAGAAGCTAAAAAAAATCATAAGACACACATATAAGGGAACCTTCCATGCATTGACTTGATCAAAGAGCTTAAGAGCAAAAAGGAGCCGAAACTTACTTGCTCTATTGCAGAAAATGATCGGAAAGGAATGTAGACCTCGTCATTGTGGTCGATTAGGCACCTCCTAATCGACAAAAAGATGACTCAAGAGTTAAAACTCTTAGAGAGAAAATAGAGAACTCTAAAAAAGTGGTTTATAAATAAATGATACGTTTTAAAATAATGAAACTAGTTTAAACTATTTATATATAAACTATTTAATATTAAAATAACCGAGTTTCGCTATTTTTAAACTATCACCAGTTCTAAAATACGGAGTGAAAAAATATATATTTATCTTGCTACTTACTTTTCTATTATAGACTTCTTCCTAGTTTTTATTTTTTAATATATGTTTTACAAATACAATACTAATCTATTATCTTTATATTTTCTGTTTTTATATTTGATTATGCAAATCATAATAAGAAAGTTCTTAGTTTCTTAACTATTTTAAATAGTAGGATGATTTATATATATGCTCTTATGTGTTTGACAAACACACACATATATAATTTTAAATTATTAAATAAAATTTAATTGAAAATATTTATTAATATTTGGAGTACATTGTGAACAAATAATCTTGGGTTTTATAAAATATTCAATATATATATATATATATATATATATATATATATATATAAATATAAATTTAATATTTTTTTATTATACTTATGAGACTCATATACTAAAATTTCAGTAATTATGCTTTCACTGTTTTGAAATATAACACTGAACTCTTGCTTGTATTTGGTGTTAAATAAAATTTATCTTTCAAATAAACTTTTGAGATGAACTAAATCATTTAATAGGTAACTTGTAGATTTTTAAATTTATATATTTCATAAATATTGAAAAATAGTATAATTTGTGTATGCTCAGATATAAAGATACTTACTTAAGAAAAATACTATAACAATTCAAATGGTCTATTATTCACATTTTTCACAACAATAAAAAAAAATCACCTAGTAAATTTAAAAATAAAAACCAGCAATTCAAATCTCATAATAATCGTCCACCTTCTCAAATATGTCTTCTTCTCTGGTAAAACAAAACTGTATTCTGTGCTACTTTTTTTTAAGGAAAATAGTACCCTGTGCTTGCCAATAAATATAAACTGATATGATCCATACTCGGCCCGTATCTAACGGGCCAGACTTGGGCCGAAGCTAGTTGCAAAAATCCTTCGCTATAGAATTTTTCTTCCTCTTTGCTCTTAGTTGTAATAATTTCTCTTCACAAAAATTAAAAATATACCCACTGAAGTATTTTCCAAATTATTTTTATGTGTGACTCGGAGAAAATACAAGCACCTTTTGCATAAACCAATGAAAATTATTTTTTTATAAATTAAAATAATAAAAATATATAGTGTATCTACACATAATTTATTTATCCCCTATAGGATGTATTCATAGACAAAAAATTATTAAAAAAAAATCGAATACGTCATACCAAAATCATTATTAAAATCATTTTTGAAAAGCTATTTATAAATTGTTTATATTAAATTTATTATACTGTTTTAAAAGCATATATTTATTTATCTTTCTTACTATCAAATAACTTCATATATAATTAAATAGTCGTATTATAACTTTGAAATAAGGCATTTTTTTTATTATAACACCTATACACAATTTATTCAACATGCATGTATTGTGAGAAAAATGTAACCGGTAACGAGTTTGCTTAGCGCAACAGTACAGCAGAAATACATTAGTCTTTTAAAAACTTGATGATGAAAGAGTTTTTCTTTTTAAATAAGCTATAGGTAAGACTTTGATCCAAATGGCAGCTTTGAACTGATGCAGATACAGGGAATGGTCTATATATGTAAAATAGAAGAAAAAAAGGTCATTGTTGAAACAGCTTAAACTAAAACGGTGACGTAAATGAAGCATTTATTATGAGTATACTTTTCAATAGTGGTGTGCAGCATCATTTTCCTTAACGAGATTAATCCATCTAATTCATTTTCTTTTATTTGGGTGTTAAGTCGTGTTGGATCAGTTAGGTTTACCTATCATTTATGCCTACCATTACTCTTCTCCATCGGTTCACATAACAAAGAATATGTAGAAAAGGAAAAGAAACCTAAAACCACGTCCTTTTCTGTCTTCTAAATACAAAGGGTTAATTCTTTTAGGTGTACTTTGCAAGAACATTTGTATTTTTGTATATTTTGTAAATCTGAGTTCACTTTTGTAGTAATTGAATAGCCGTTGAATTGGATTCCACTGTTAAAGTGCGGTGAGGTGTCAGCCACTTGTAAAGCTTATAGAAGCTACAACCAAAAATGGCCCAAGTAACAGGTACGTAAAATGTGCAAGAAATTTAAGCAATACACAAAAGTTAGGCCCAAAATCCACCATCCTCCTTTCTTCGTCTACCTCCAAGATTAACAATCTCATCATCACGTGCAATAATTGTCATTCTTCTTAATCGATTTAAACTATCTTTCACCTCCCAATATATATTCTTATTAACCAAGTCTACCAAACTTGTTTCTATGTTAAAAGTCCACGTAAACTCAATTTATACTATATAAAAAAATTATTACTTTTAAATATATTATTTCATATGCTGTTATGTTATTTTTGAACAATTATTGATATTTATTAAAATGATCGTTATACTTTTGAAAAGTAGTTCTGAAGAGACAGAATAAATAAAAAACTAAACACAAAATTGATTAAAAAAGAACTTCTAGAACATATTCCGACTCGGTTTTCATAAGCTCCTCCATCTTTTCTTTTCTATATATATTTTTTTCACTTTACATTTGTTTCTGGTTAAATCTTAAAATTATTTCCAGTTTTTTCTCCTTTGTTTAGATAAAGTTAATATCCATCAATTATCTTTTAAAGAGTGTACTTCACTTACATGGTATTTGATTGAGAGAAATTACTAGGAGAGGAGAGTGTAAAATTTGTATACAGTTGCATCTTTCTATGTAATTTCTTAAAGAAAGAGAACATAAACGAAATTAAAACTGTTTGAGAGTGAAGAATTTGTATAATTTTTCGTTTGGTTTTTTACGCTTGTATTGATTATTTTTCACGAGAAAGGGAAGAAAAACAGTGGGGAGTAAAATTTCAACATAGAAATGATAACTGTGTTGAATTCAAAAATATCGAAAACGTAAAATTTCTACACATTTTTTATTTTTTAATATTAAAATGTTCAAACAAATTAAAAGTAATCGAAGTACTTTTTATGAATTAATTATCAACGTTTTAAGCGTACTAACTAAAATATCCCTACTATATTTTAAAATGTAAACTTATATAAGTAGACATAGATATTACTTTTATTCTAGAAAATTAGAATGCCCATTCTGCTATCTTTTTAATAAAAGAAGTTATAATCCAAATTGTTCTCCTTTTTATAGAAAATAAAGCATAAAACAGATGAAAATAATTTTAAAAAATTGAAACCAAAGAAATTATCTATAATACTAATATCATTTAAAATCTAGAGTCTGAATTTCACATCTAATATAATCATCCCAGAGATTTTTTAAAATAGAATATTAGTTTGTTTTGTAATTACAATAACTGGAAAACAGTGAATATACCAACACTTTACTCTGAATTGTGTCCATATGGTTCCCAGTCAGAAACACTTCCTTCATAAAGTATTAGAAATATAACTAAGCAATTTCCTTTGCATCTGTTATCCTAAACTTCTTCTGTAATTCCCTTCATCACGAAAAAAGGGAACAAAAAACAGTGAAAAATATGTACATCTCTAATACCTTTTTCTTTTTTTCTTTTTTCCTTTTAATTAAATATCTATTGTGTGGGCAACGTCTCATGCCGCCATGTATCACAAAATTCGGTGGAATCATAATACACATCCGAGTGATCGAAAAGTTTCTCAAACGCAGCGTATTCGGTGGCAGTATCGCACTCGTAACCGAATCCCATTCCCAAATCAAACGAATCGTATCTTGAAATATGGTCCTCAAACTCCCACAACTCGCCGATTCCGGACGAGTCAGACGCCACTCGGATCAACTCATTCTCCTCGTTTTTATTCTCCGGCACCGACGAGCTTCCGGCAGGAGGAAGCCCTAGCTCGTCGTCGGAAGCCTCCAGGAGGTAACCGATCTGCGCCTGAGACTCGCCGGAACCTGACGTCACGCCAGAGATCTCCTCCTGCAGACTCTTCATGACGGAGTCAAGATCCTGTGTGGAAGGCGCATCGTCGGCGTCGTCGAAGAACTCGAGTAAATCGTCCCTGAGTCGCTTAGTCTCCGGCGATTCAAGAACCGAATCGTCCGAGTCATCTCGGACACGCTTCTTGCAACCGGAATCGCTATCACCCATACTTAGAAAGAAAGGCCAAAACGGTAGCGTTTTGGGAATTAGATTTAAGAGACACGTTTAATCGGTGGTGTTTCAACGAGAGTTGACACGGCGGGTTGTGGTGGCGAAGAGATCTCGTGAGGCTTATATATAAAGGGGGACAATGGAGAGAGAAAGAAAAGAAAGAAAGAGAGAGAGAGAAAGAAAGAGTACGGTGTAATGATGCTGACGACGCAGGCGCGTGGGACCGAATTCTTAGCCCATTACACACAGACTTTGATTTTGCCTTTTTGTTTTCATGTTTCTTATTTTTTATTTTAATATTTATTTTTAGCTTTTTATGGTTTTGTTTTGAAAAGAATATGGTGGCTGCTTTTTCCTTTTTTAAAATATTAAATGGAGTTGAATTTGGAGTTGGAGTCCGGGTCAGTTGCGTGGGTCCCACTCGCCTAGTCAATGACCGCTTTTGGTGCTTTATTCGGCCCGGTTCGGCTGGTGTTTTTTTAGGTGTTTTGGTTGGTACCAAAAGGAAAAGAAAAAGAAAAAACGGACAAAGCAAGGGTTAAGTGTGAGGGCGTTTTGGGAATTAAAGCTTTTGCTTTTTCAATTTTCATTATTCTTTTTTTAATTTTATATGAGATTTGAATAGACTTGGAAATTTCATTCAAAATTGCAAACTTGAGTTGGCCTTCTGAGAAGCTTTGAAATGAAAGGTTTACTTGAGTGATGGCAACGTCAATAAAATAAAATTAAAATTGCATTAAAAATGTCTACGATAATGCTGCCCACTATCACTGCCTCAATCAGTGGGTTACACCTATTCTTATCTCTCTTTCTTTATTATTTATCATTTTAACTATTCCTATTTGCAAAAAGATACACCTTTGCTTTCCAGATCTCAACGTTTCTCATGTGCTTCAAAACTCCTTTACTTCATTATCTTCCCTTAAAAACAACTATTTACTCTTTTAGAAATTTTACTAATAAAAAGAACAACTAAATCGTACATATACAGTAATTTACAATTACCAACCTTCTTAATTTTATATAATTCAAAATTAAGGCATTTAAAACTTTTCATTTTGCACTGTTTCAACCGAGTCCGTTTATTAATATGTATTATTGGTCATTTATAACCATATGTAAATTATATAATTTTTCTTAAATTTTTCAAAACAATTTTTTATTTATTTCCTAAATCTAGACGTTCTCATAAAATAAAATTATTATAGTATCCGTTAATTTTAATTTTTTATAAACATTCTTTTAGAGAATGCATTGCAGTTATATTTTTTAAATTGGTTAATAATTCTCATTTACTGTTATACAATATTTTCTATTTTCTATATTTAAAAATTAATACATCAATATAATAAAAAGAACATTACAAAAACACCAAATTAAGTTTGACAAATTAAAAAAAAAAAGTAACTTGATAAAATTACGGTCAAACCACCTATATTTTTGTTAATAATTTATAATACTTTTATAGCATATGAAATTTAACATATCTTCCCATACTCTCTACTCATGGTGATGCGTTACTTCTTATAATTAACAATGTTTTTATAACATATCTAGTTTGTAAAACTATTAAATAAATATCATATATCTCGTGCCCTTTCGAATTTGATGTATGTTTTTCAGTAAAATGTAGTTGTTAGTATTTAATGTTGTGATATGATATTTTTCTTAACATTAGTGATAAGAATTACTTATATTAATATAAGCAGATATTTGAAATGAATCACAATTTAGAAGTTAGTTATTATTTTTAGTTTATTTAAAAAAAATGGTGTTTAGATTTTGTGCATTAATTTTAATAACTTTTAATTAAATGTGTCAAAGAGTCAAACTATAAATTAACCTATTTCATTAAAAAAAATACTAAAATATATAGGCGTGGTATAATTCTTTTTATTTCAAATTATTATATTTAAAATTAAAATTAATTTCATAACCTAACATTTAAAATATATGTTTTTATTATAAATTTCGTAAATTAAAAATCATTATCAAAGCAAATTAAAAAAAATTTAATTTAAGATTATTGTCAAATCTAACTAAAATGGTGTGGTTGATAGACTCTAGAGATTATAACATGTTTAGTTAGGTATGGATATATTGTCTATTTCTTACCCGTCCAAAACAACTCTGTCATGTTGTACATCCTATTATCCACTAAAAAAATACTCATAAGTATTAAAAAAATTGTAGGCATCTATAAATACTCATGTTTAAATATAAAAAAAATTATATATATTCAAAATATAATAATTAATATTTTTATTAATAATTGTACTTTTATTTGAATTTCTTTTAAAAATATTCAAATAAAATTCAGCTAATAACAAATACATGCAAGTCAGATACCACAGTATTTGCCCATAAGTAAGTAAATAATAAAATATCCATACTAAATATCTAAAAATATCCATTTAATATTTATTTAAAATATTATCTACAAATATTCGCAGTTATGGATTTTCTTTTGCCATTTAATAAAACCTAAGGTCAAATTAAACCTAAAATTCATAACCTGATTAGAATATTATGAACTCGGTCCCTCACTTTAACTCTTTTTCCTTTCAACTAAATAGTAACAGCTACATATAATTATATTCCAGTTAACAACTATTAGAGTTATTTTTTAGTTAAAGTCATGCATTTAAATTTGGAGATTTAAAATTTTCATACAGATATTGGTGTGTGGGAATGTGATTAGAATATTATTAATATAAAAAATATAGATTTTTTGGATTTGATCCTTCAATTAACTAGCTACTACTATACCTATATATTCCTCCACAAATTTATCGAGTCAAATTCGTGTGGTCGTGCATGCCTTGTAGCATATCTTTAATAGTTGTGTATATTATTATCTTTTAATCCATAATATATTGGGTACATGATTTAAAATAAAATATCTTATCACTCTTTTATTTTTATTTTTTCATTTCCATACCTTGTATATTTTAAAATCTATTACAGCAAGATTCATACGTGCAATAATAGTATTTATTTGTCATATATTTTAAAATCTATTACAGCAAGATTCACACGTGCAATAATAGTATTTATTTGTCATATATTTTAAAATCTATTACAGCAAGATTCATACGTGAAATAATAGTATTTATTTGTCATATATTTTTTAGCAAATGATAATGTGTTCCTTAAAATGGTGAAACTAATAAAAGCATTCTGAAAAAAAATTGTAGTTGTTTAAATTATATGAAATGTAAACATATTTTCTTGTGTCTTCACTGTAAACTCAAATAAAACCACATGATCCGTGACTATAACGGAGTTATAAATCAAACCAAAAAATCATGTTGAGATTTTAGAAGGAATAAACTACTACGGAATAGTTTTGGAGAACATTTTTAACACATCACAATTTACAAAGACCCGATGCATGATTTACATTATATTTTGAAACAGGATAAAGGGTCAAATGATTATAAAAATATAAATTTTTGTATTTTTTAAAAAAAAAAGTAAATAAAAATAATATCAAATAAATATAAAAAATATAGATGTGTTAAATAATATTTTTCAAAAATATATTAACACTATTACAACGATATCTTTTTATAAAATGTTGAACGTAATTACATATTTAAGAATAAATCAAAACTAAATAATTTTGTTATTTTATTTGATTTTAAAACTTACTTAGAGAATGTTGCGTAGCTGATTATATTTTCAATTAGAATACTTTTTTTTTTCCAAAAAATGAGATCTTTGTGTTGTATTTGCGTTCAATTTGATTAAGAAAAATAAATCGTGGTTATTGTATATTTGTAATGATATGTGAAATTATTGAAAAAGATTATTTATGTAAAGATCTAAAAAATAAAATTTTAAAAGTATAATGATTTAAAAATAATTCGATTATTTTAATATTAAAAGATTTTGATATAAATAGTTTTGTTAAGCAGAAATTTTGTTATTTTAAAATACATTATCTATAGAAATCATTTTTCTATAGTTATCTGACTTCTCTCTAACATCCTTAGCTGATCTGTTTGAAGATCATATACCATCTTAGTGATTATCGCAGTGAAATCTTCTAGTCTAACTGGTCGATCTTTCAAATAGAGTAAAGTGATTTTTTGTTTCTTTCTTTATCAGTTGTGTTTTTCTGCATGTTAGCTTTCTTTATTTTGCATGTGAAATTTGAGTCTTTTATAAAACTTTTTATTGATCAGTGATCCTAACGGTGTATTCTGATTGTGTTTCTATATGGTTCGTTAGAGGAAATATGAATTAATGTACATTGAATCTGTTTTAGGCTTTCTAGAGCAATTTGATCTTCTGTCAAATAAGAAAATCTAATATTTGTTTTAATTTGTGTTAAGAAGTATGAAGTTTTTATTTGTTAGGTTATGAGGATGATGTGTGATTAAATGTTGTTATTTGAGATAATTATTTAGTAATATCTGTGTTTGATGAGTGAATTTGGATGATTGGTGAATGTTATTCTGAATGATTGTGCTTTTGTTGTTTTAGAGGCCTAGAAGATACAAATCTATTTTAGATTTGAAAGTAGTAAAAATGAAATATTATCGGGTTGTTTTGCATTTAATTTGGTATTATCTTTGAATTATGTGTGATCTCTAAGATATATATTAAAGTTAAGAAGTATATTTCTTAAACATGACACTAAATATATGTGGGTGTTGAGATAACAACATAACAGTGAGTGACTAAATAAATCAACAAAATTTATTAAAAAGAGTTTTAATACTATATGTTATGAAATAGGTTATATTTAATTCAAACTTATGAAATTACTTCAAAAGATAATATTTACTATAAATTGGTTTTATTTTTAATTAATATAAGATTTTCAAAACTTATAATAGTTTAAGTTTTCTTATGATATTTATATTTTAAACCTGGCTTTGTTATTAGGTTAAATTTGTTAGTTTATGTTTAATGTATGTGTCTTGTTTACCCTCTTTTTTTTATCACATGAAATGGTTTTCCCTAATAACAAAAATAGTATAATGTGTGGAAAGAAATCCGAATTATAGGTAGTTGTAAAATTGTCTTACAATAGAGATGAGGTTGTGTAGTCAACAGTTGTTGCTAACTTGCTATTATGATAGCAAAGTAATTTGACTATTGTGATTGGTACCTTACTTGAAAGTGCAACAACGAAAACTAAATTGTTTTAAATTCTGGGGCAGATGGGTCAGTGTGTTAGAAAGTGAAACCCAAGTGGGAGCTGCGTTGGC